ACACCTTAACATGGGTCTTATTTGTAAAGGATATAAAGGAACAAACCACACAACAACGAACACTCATTATTATAATTTACAAACGTTTAACAATGACATTTTATTGCGTACCTACCTACGGTCTAACAGCATGTGAATGAATAGGCGGCGGCGGCCCGTCACTGCAAAGAATGAGGCAGCCAGTAGCGAGTAGCCTCCAGACAACAATAACACAATTAGGGCATTCAGTACCGTTTATCCTAAACGGCTTCCGTGTTACAAAAGGGTCAATTTCCAAATAGCTACCGTTTTTCGTAGCACAAACACCTTCCCACTTCAAACAGACTATTCGGACTGTCTCAGAACAGGTGTGGTTAAAATGTGTTAAAACCCCGTCAACTTAACCATTAAGCATGCATAACGTAGGTACATTCTCACCGCCAGACAACAATGACGATCAACTCGTTACTCCTGAATCCGAGTTTTATTTGTAAGGGATATAAAGGAACTTACCACACAAATAGATACACGATATATACTGTTTTTGATAAATATTGCATGTAATTATTGTACAATTATTGTTTTTTTTTCTTTATTCATAATATATTTAAGCCTTGGTCAAATAATTATTTTTACGACTCATAATAACGTGTAGTAGTATTTGTATAATTAAATATGGAGTATAAAGATAATGGCGAAAATATCAAACTATAAGGGCAGGCCTAGGTCTTCGTAATTCGTGTTAGAGTTTTTTAATTTGTGTTATAGTATATACATATATTATTAGTTAAAAATTTTATAGTATCATACCATTGCTTTACGACTACTATAAAAAGTAAACCGATGTTTTCAAAGAACTACGCAATCGAAAATTATAAATTTATAATAACTATATAAATAAATTGTATAATATTTGAAATTGGGTACCCCAAATCCTTATAATTACATTGTGATTTTTGGTTATGATGGTATAGCAATCTGAAATACTATATTATTATTTAACACAAAAGGTTGGACACAATTAAATCTGCTAAAAAGCATCGTTATATAGATTTATTATTCGAATAATCATATTATACAATATTATAAAATAGAAGACCATTTTTTGTATGTACCTATATGTATATCTCAAAAAGTTGTAACGTCACAGCATTTTTTGCATTAATATTATTAATATCATAAACATACCTGTACCCATATTACCATTAATAAACACAGTGGCGTACATACGGGGGGGGTTTTCGGGTTCAAACCCCCCCCAGGACCAAAAAAAAAATAAAAAAAATAATGTGATATTATTGATGAATTTCTTATTATTAATCAACCGTGTATACACAAATATACGTCATAATAATATGACTATTGAGTAAACACTAAACACTATAGGTACTTAACCAACAACGAAAAAAGATTTCATAACGAAATCATGGGTGCCGTATAATATGGTATATCAATCAAAATAGACATTATTTTGATCGTACACAGTCAGTTAGTTGCGTGCGGATATAAATACATATTAATATTGTCTTTATCTCGATCGACTCATTATAAACACACAAGACTGGGCGAGTTAAGTTTTTTTTTTTTTAACTCAGTTAAGTTAATATGCATACACATATAGATATAGTATATATTGTATTTTTAAGTACAGAAGTTACCTATCACATAAGTAATAAGTAATAAATAATAATAAATAAGTATTATATATTTTAGTTGTCTTTCAAACAGATATTATTTGTGTACGATGAGTAGGTATTTTTAATTTTAATGTTTTAACTATCAACGTGAATACTGTTCATAATAATTTTTAATAATAATTAATAATCTCACAAAACCGTAAAATCATAAAATCAATACGTAATTGATTTATTTATTTTTGTTTATTTTTAGATTTTAGTGTCGGCAAACTATATCATAATATTATGTCTATATTATTGAAATTTTGACATGGCAACAAAATAGACTTAAATAATGAAATGTAAAAAAATGAAAAACAAAATAAATTAACTTACAAATAAAAAAATTAATTCGTTAATTTAACGTTGATTAAAAAATAAATTTAGTAAATTAGTAGTTAAGTCAAAAATTATTATTATCACATCATAATCATTATCATTCGATTTCGATATATTTTAGGTTTTTAAGGTAAAATAATTAATAAATAGTAATCATGGCTGAAAAAAAAACAATCGAAACTGCAATCTTTTTTTTCGAAACCACCCTCAATAATGAATTCATTGTCAAATTCATTGAATACAACAGTTATAAGTTCCTCTAGTTCCTCATTACCATCAACTGCATCTGCATCTGATACACCTATCACTCAGTTTACACCTTCGACTACAGATATTAATCGTACATCTTCCAGTTATAATATTTTTGACATTGCACATTACACAAATACATTTTTAACGCAAAGTGAAATAGAAGAAATTTTGAGCAAAATTTGGGTCCCTGATATTAATTACAATTTTCCTATCAAAATATCAGTAGTCGGTAAGCAACAAAAAGTTTTGAGGTTGAAATTTCAATATAAATGGCTAATTAACTTTCCCTGGTTGGCCTATTTAGAAGTAAACAATTGTGCGTATTGCAAATATTGTGTTTCTTTTACTAAAAATGAAGCCGGTGTTAATAACCAAAAATTGGGAGCATTTGTATTAAAAAAAATATGATGATTGGAAACATGCATTGGAAGACTTTAAAAATCATTCGAATTTAAAATATCACAATCAATAGAATTTTTATTATAAATAATTAATAATATAATATTTATAATATTCTGTACTTACTATGTGAATATTAAATAATATTTAAATACCATGAGTTACGTAAACCTTTGTATTTGTTTTGCTATTTTGCCTATTAATATTTATACGTGTAATGTGTTTGATTGTTAGGAAAATGGGTAGTTGCAAAGAGAAGGTTTTAGTGCTGGTTATTTTTTTTAAACCTCCCCCAGAGCAAATTTGAATGTACGCCACTGAATAAACATACCTTATTTATATATTCTTATGATTATCGCGCGCTAACGCAAAAATGACCGCAGTGTTATGCAATAAATGTTCCCCGTTCCCCCCTTCATCATGCAGTGTTCGTCGTCGACGTGCCGCGGTTGCCCGCCGCCCGTCATCTCCAGCGCTTTTGTCGCGTCCGCCGGTACGGCCCGCAGGCACTACTGTACTCCCCGAATATACTGTATCATCCCACAAAACGACGACACTGATCTGCCCCACCAACGACAAAAAGCGTTATTTTATTTTATTTTACTGTTTGTAACTTGCCAAAGTATAATTATGTTATATAACCATGTAAAATACACCCACATAATTACCCTAAACTCATTATTGTCTTGATTTGTTAATTAATATTATTTTCTTTACCCCAACATAAATCCTCTACATTCATTTGTAGTTGCGTGTAACAAAGCCTATGAGCTCCACCGACTTGGCCCTCGGGTCATCACGCGGTGCGGCTCATAGGTCACGGTGTAAGTGTTCCCCTTACATCGTGGGTGGTTTACGGAGCCCTAAAAAGCTCCGGATTCTCTCAAAGTATAGGTAGGTACCCATCGGATTTTAGTACAGTTTCACTAATTAATATTCCGTGTCTCATGGAATTTTTTCATGTATAATACGTCTTAGAAAAATGCCAAAAATAATATAAATAAATATTAAATGTTGTCCGTCGGTAACTTCATCATTTTCTAGTTCCAACTGTTTTGTTTGCATTAAAGTATTAACTTTTGTATTAAATTGTCAAATGTTAGTCATGAAAAGGAATTATTTTTAAAATGTCTACCTAGACACAAAAAATAAACGAATCTTTATATTCAGTGTTTGTTCATTTAAATATGACAATTTCACGGTTTGAATACCTATACCCATTCAGGGTTATTCAGCATCGCTTATTGTCAATGATGCAAAATGTCAATTTGTCCGGTATTTTCAATAAAACAGACGTCTATATTGGGGTAGGTACGGTGGATGTAACCTGTTGCACTAATAAATATGTATCAATTCGGCACATCTCAAATAACTACCCATAGGTCGTAACCCATATAAATCATAATATAATAAATATTATTAGGTAGGTATAATGTTGTGTATAATAAAGTCTTTGATATTATAAATTATTATGACGATTATAAAGACTAACAAAAAAAAAGTATAACAATATAAAGAGCCTCTTATGTGATGATCGACGCCGACACGATTATTTACCCCAATTACGTAACACGGTCGTCAAATAATAATAATAATAATAATAATAGACAATAGCTGAAGGACAAAATATTTTATAACATTTAAAATTTAATAATAATTTTGTAGTTAAAGATGTATAAAATGTTCAACTTTTATAGCTAATGATTGAAAACAGGGCCGGCGCTACCTTTTGCGAGGCCCTGGGCAAAACTTATTTAACCAATATCCATATCGCATAGAACATAGGTGTAATTTAAGGCAAAAAATCATAAAAAATGTGGGTCCCAAATAAAACAATTTTAAATCATTATGGACTTAAGCCCTCCCAAAATGTTGACCCTAGTTACACCTAAGATATTTATTGAAATAAAAATACATTAGTAAATATTAATTTTCAACTTTTTAATGATTACTTTTAAACGTATTACACTTGTCAACTTACAAACATATAAATAACTTACAAATATACTAAGTCACTAAGGTATACAAATGTACAAAGGTTCTGTAATTTTATGTACTAAATCCTATACTATAAAATGACAAGTTTAATATAAAATAATACATTTAAATATTAGAAATTTAAGCAGTAAAAAAACAAAATTAATATAGAATATTTAAAATTTTTTTCTTGATTTTTTGGACGTATTACACTTGTTAACTTATAAACATATAAATAACTTACAACATATATACTAAGCTACTAAGGTTTACAAATGTACAAAGGTTCTGTAATTGTATGTACTAAATTTAATATAAAATAATACATTTAAACATTAGAAATTTAAGCAATAAAAAAACAAAATTAATATAGAATATTTAAAATTTTTTTCTTGATTTTTTGGACGCAAACAACTCTATGACGTCCTTAAAATTCAATGTATTTGCTGTTTCATTTTCAATTGCAATAGTAGCCAATTCAGTCACTCGTTTTTGAGACATTGTGTTTCTTAGGTAATTCTTGATTATTTTGAGCTTTGAGAAACTCCTTTCTGCTGACGCTGAGGTGATTGGTATGGTTAACAAAATTCGGAGTGAAATTACTATGTTAGGAAAAGCTGTAAAAGCACCAGGCATTGTTTTTAAAAAACTGAGTGCTTCTATTGGCGTAGAATCTTCTTTCATTGTATGACGAAAAACTAGTAACTCTTCATACAATTCAGAAGCAACTATATCATATAATTCTCCGTCACTTAGATAATTTTGTAAATCTAAGCAACTCTTCATAAGGTCGTCATTAGTTATTTTTTGGAGCTCACCAATATTGTATAGAAAACTGAAATTGTCGCTATAAATTTTAAATTGATTAAATCGTTCACTAAATGATAATATAGCTCCATCGGCAATGACATTAAAATAAAATATTCTGAAATTGTTTTCTGCGTCATCATTTATTTCATCAGAATTCTCATACTCAAATTGTTTTTTTGTCCTTCTAAAACGCTTCTTTTTAAATTTTTTATGAATATTCACGACATCTGCTATTTCATTAGCTTTAATTTTTGAAGATTCAAAACCACTCATTCTAAATGATTTTAAAAATTCTAAAAGACCATTTAAAAGGCTACTACATTTGTCCAAATGAATATTAATGTTTTGTAAAGTTTTGCTTACCGTATTTACTTCAACTAATATTTCATACCATATTATCAGACTAAGAATAAATTCATAACTTTCTAGCTCATTTGTAGCTAATGAATGAGCTTCGCTTTTCGTTTTTGGATCTGAAGTTGTATCAGCCACTTCTTCTAATGCGCTAATAAGTTCGGGTACTTGGTAACGTATAGCTTTGATACTGTTGACTTTACATTCCCATCTAGTTTCTGAAAGTGGTTTCAGTGTTAATAATGTACAATGTTTTTTAAAAATATCCCAGCGTTTTGTAGAAGATGCAAACATACAATATATTCTTTGTATGGTGCCAAAAAACCCAACCGCTATGGTGGAACTCTTTGCTATATCACCCAACAACAAATTTAAATTATGACACGCACATGGTGAAAAGAATGCTCTAGGATTTATTGCTAAAATTCTTGATTGAACCCCTTTGTACTGGCCTTTCATATTGGCACCATTGTCATATGCTTGTCCACGACAATCTTTTATATCTATACCTATACTTTTTAATTTATCTAATAAAATATTTGTCAAATCATATCCAGTTGTAGAATGAACATTAATAAATTCAATAAAATATTCTTTGATGCAAGGTATTGTAGACATACTTTTATTTCCCATATCTAGAATACGAATAATTATAGAAAGTTGCTCTTCTCTACTAACATCTGGAGTGCAGTCCATCATTATAGAAAAATATTTTGCTTCTTTGATGCTTTCTACAATCTGTTGACGAATTTTTTGTGCTATAAGTTCAATCAGTTCATCTTGTATTTGGTGACTTAAATAATGATCATGAGTTTCATTATTTTTTATCCGACGAACATGTTCTTGAATAACTGGATCGAATTTGGCCATCATCTCTATGAGGCCTAAAAATTTACCATTATGTTCCGTATAAATTACATCAGAGGATCCCCGAAATGCATCACCATGTTTTGCCAAATAAAAAATTGCTGATAAAATTCGTTTTAGCACATCTTTCCAATATTGTTTTTCTTTATCTATTTCCTTTAAATGCAAATCATCGATAGTTTCGTTTTTAATAATTCGTGTTTTTAATTCGTTCCAAGAGAGAATTGTTTCTTTATGAGAAGAAGAATTTTCGTGTTGTTCCAATTTTAATGCTATATGTTTCCAATCTGAGGTTCCATTATTAGTTAAACTACCAGGGTTAGGAATTTTTAATTGTGAACTAAAAAGTTTGCAAGAAAAACAATAAACTCGATCACGTGATTTTGAATACAACAACCAATTTCTTGATATTTTTTCACCATTTTTCATTATTCTATAAAACATTTTATTACTAAATTTCCTATTTTGATCATTTTTTGGATAACTTTCGTAGAATTCAATTTTTTCAGATTTACTAAGAACAATTTTAACTCGCATATCATGGGTTAAGGACTGTGGCCACTGATCTGGATCACTAAAATTTATTTCTGCTTCTTTGATCTCGTTAATTATTTTTTCATTATTAATTATTGTTAAGTCACTAGATTTTTCAACTATCTCAATACTATTTTGAGTCACAAATTCTTTGGAACAACAGGGTTGCTCTGTATCACCTTCCAATATTAACTCTTCTTCATAACATTCAATTTCATTCTGTTCTTCAGCTACTCTCTCCAGAGTATCTGAAGAAAAAACAAATTTGTCTAACGCACCACGTTGCTTTTTTAGATTTTTTTCAAGGTTTTGTTTTTTCTGTCGTTTTTGGTGGCCTGAATCAAATTTACGATACTTATCTCGCTGCCGACTACTCATTTTGAATAAAATCACGTTTGCCGTATTTGGGTAGTCTGTAATTTTTTGAATTTTAAAATTTTAAAATGAGAAATGTCAAAGTACCATAAGAATACGAAGTGCTATCAAAAAAGGGGTATGTGTTTAAAGATCAGAGCAATATTTTATGAAATATATCATGTTTTTTTAATGAGATTAAAAATAAATAAGTTAATAAAAATTATATAGTATATAATATAAAGCCATTGAGGAGAACAATAAACTTGGTGCAATAACGTCGGATTTCTTCAATATAATTCGTATAAATTGAGTTATTATAGTTTATGAATATTAGATTTTTCCGTTTTCTAATATACTAATATATACAAATTAAAAATTATTTTATATAATTATATTGATCAATTCCGATGTTATTACACAATACACCGATCAAGGTATTTTGTGTGTACACGCTCAGAAGGTATTTTAAATTACTAAACTAGTGTTTTACTATAAAATGTATTCATTATTCAACAATTATTACCTGGAGAGTGGAGAAATAAATTTAAATTTACAAACTCTTCTTGTCAGCTTAGACGAGGACGACAGTCGAAAAACAATTGAGAATATTCAACTTCAAATGTTGTCGTTACTCGTTAGCACACAAATCCTCAAAATAGGTACATTAAATAATTTTATATTATATAGTTATCGACGTTATCGTAGTTCGTAGTATAGCCAGTATATACTGTTATCGGACGTGGTGACAACAGTTACTGATGATTTGACAGCCGCTCGCAATATCGGGTAATGATTGATTAAATTTAATAATGCGATTAACTGTCTAGGAATCCGGGGTTTCCATACCGTGCGACGTGCCATACCGATCGACGTTGACGCATAAATATTTAATATAATATTATATTGTTGTTTTGTTTTAGTACAAGATTTTCATATAAAATATTTTCCTATGTACATTTTGAGCGCGAGGCCCTTGAATGCGCGAGGCCCTGGACAAATGTCCCCCTTTGCCCCCCCCTAACGCCGGCCCTGATTGAAAATTTAAAACAAGATTTTACGTAAATCTTAATATATATAAATCTCGTGTCACAATGTTTGTCCTCAATGGACTCCTAAACCACTTAACCGATTTTGATGAAATTTTTTACACCGCGTGTAATTTGGTCCAACTTAAAAGATAGGCTAATTTAAAAAGGGAGAGGACCAACCCCGGGAGGTGCTCAAACGGGAATTTTGAGATTTCCGATGGAAATTTTTGTTTATAAATGGTTGCCATGGGTTTTTAAGCTATTGCAATAATAAAAATAATAAAAAAAAAACTATTTGCTTTACTTTTTAAATATAAATTGTAATATAATATCTAACTATAAAAATGTGAAATGAAAATCTCTGTACTACTTATCTCTGGAGCTTCTTATCAGATCTTCTTTATTTTTTTTAAATGAAAGAGTATTTCATGGATAAGGTTTATATGAAAAAAAAAATGTTAGGAAAATCCACCAGTGTATTATATTATATCGGTTGCTATTGGTTAATCGGGCATGTTTTTGATTTGTATCATTATTTTTTGTCAATAGGTATACATATATCATATATATATAATAAATACAAAAAGATCCAATAAGTAGTTCCAGAGTCTGTATAGTTATAGTCCGTGTATTTATATACTTATATATATATATATATTTATAAATTAATGTTTGTGGGTAGATTAGACGTCTGGGAAGAAGATAGGTTAATTTACTAAGGGTTAAATTTGTTTTTTTTTCATCGGGTTTTAGTACGGTTAGGTTAGGATAGGATTTTGTATAAAATGATTATAATAATCCACCTTAGGCGAAATGAAGTAAAAACGATAAACTTGGTATAACTTTGATACTTTAGAGTTAAATCATACACTTACGTACAAACAGCACAGGGTACGCGATCTATCGCAGGTAGATTACTGTTGCGAATCAGAATTTTTATTCGGGGCAACGGAAAAGTTAAGATTAATTTTGAACACCGCATACACCGAATATTAAATAACGAATTGAACAAACTTTGAGACATATAGAATTGATACATTTAACGGGGCAACGAAGTGCACGGGATCAGCTAGTAGGTTATATATAAATAATTACTTTATTCACCTTAGTATCATCAAATAATATACTTATCGTAATATCATAGGCTGACTAACCGTTTTCGCTCAGAATCATTTTTCTTACACAACGATATTAAATCATTAAATTCAAATTCAATACCATAAATTATACAGTGGCCCACTTGTATCCTACTGTACAGCAGAGCACCTTTTTTTCGTTGTGTACGACAACGTTTGACGATTATTTAAATAAAAATAATACATTTGCTATATATGGTAAACTGCGTGTGCCTATACTGCCAATTAGAAAAATTTTGTATAATATGATACATCGGTTATTGTTTAATAAACAGTGGGTTTAATCAACATAAATAAAATATATCCGGTGGAATCAATAGCCCACTGAATTAATATTAAAACAGAGAAATCGATAAAACCCTGCTATATAATAACAATGTTGATACCCTGGTCACACCTTAACACGGGTCTTATTTGTAATGGATAAAAAGGAACAAACTACATGACAACAAACACTTATTATTATAATTTACAAACGTTTAACAATGACATTTTATTGCGCACCTACTTACGGTCTGACAGCGTGTGAATGAATAGGTGGCGGTGGTACCGGTTAATATTGATATTAAATGAATATCATAATAACAACATTTATTAAATAATATATTATTAGTGAATCCAATAACATAGGTAACTGCACTATGTGGAAGGCACAAACAAAAATTGAACGATTCAAAATAATGTCATTATTTATTATTAATTATTATAATACATATTATTTTGTTAGAAACATAAAATTTAATTTATTATTTTTGTTCAATAAACCCAATTTTATACCAGTTATAATTGTAGACGAAGACGTCTGGAGTATTAATACATACTTATACTCTCATTAATAAGAACAATGGAAATAATATACAAAAGTAGGTACCTTCCTTAAATATTTAATAAGGTGAGTGGTGAGTGGTACAAGTTGAAACAGTTATAGGTACGTTTAGTTTCCTATAAGAAGAAAATATCATGTGGACATTAAAAGTAAAAATAATAATGTATTACAGTGTATGAACTATGAACATGACAGTATGTTACATACCTATCTTATCTAAGGTATAGATAAAAGTAATATTATTATAATATTGTGACACTTATATTTTATTAAAAAATATATTGAATATAATACACCTCTCAATTTCAAATTTACAATCAGGTACATTACTAAGATTTCACCAAGAAATGGTCATTTTTTAAAGATTAGGTACATATTTTAACCATAGTTATTATTAACTTATTTAGTTTTTTGGGTACCACTGTTGGGTTGTTTGTGATAAACCTCGTAAATACTCATTAGGTTACTTAAACAACAAAATATTTTTGTTAAATTAAACGGTTAAATATTTTTAAGTAGGAGATTGGGGATGCAAATAATAATCTATCATCGGTGCCTACTTATTATTTATCATTATGTTTTTGATTGCGAATGTCTAATGATCTCTGTGGTTCCTCGTTCAAATTGTTTTGCAAATTTAAAAGTGATTTGACACTAACACGTACATTCATATTTACTTTATGTATACATATTTTATTAATAATTATTCAGTATAATATTATATAAGAGAATTATTATTATATTATTATATAGAATAAACTTTTAAAAATGACTTACAAAACGAAATATTAATCGATTAATTTATTTTACTAAGTTTCTGGTACCTATTAATATAAATTCACCAGTTTTTCACAGTGAAGGAATGTAAAATATTTATAATCTTAGACTTAGGTACCTACCTAAAGAATATAAGCTGTTTGATGATGAAAATTCCATCCTTATTTGAATGTTTAGTTTTTTAATGAATAATAAACTAATTTTTTTAGAATTTTAACCTCCATTTATATATTTAATAGTCCATTTATTAAAATTAGATTACCAAAACACTACCTACCGCATATGAATTCTAGATACATGACATTTTGATCATACACAGGAGCAATATTGTTCCACCAAAAATTGTTGTGACAGATCATCAGTCATTAGCATTAATGATGGCAGTGGCTAATTCATTCGCTCAATATTCTACTTTAACAAAATACATTTCAGTATGTTCTTCATTGATATTAGAACAGTCTACTGAAGTACCGTCTTGCATGATACAAAACGATTTCAACCACGTTATGCATTTAATAAGTACATGGCCAGAAATTAAGACGTCAACTTATCGAGTGAAAAATGCATACATGCGTTCAATTGGACTAATTATAAAAATCAGTGATTTTGAAGAAGTGAAAGAGCTATTGAAATGTATTTTCATTGTATAACTGAATGAGGAAGATGGATTTGATTTAGATAAAGCACCAACACAATGTGAGAATGCAAAAAACTATCTCAAACACAGAATTGAGGATAATATTACTATGGCAGTAGACTGCATGGATGGACCAAATCCACTACTAGATGAATTAGTTGACATTAGTTATGATAATATATTAGTAGATGACGGCACTACCAATATATTTAATGTTATAAAAAATATTTAACAGTCTTGTTTAGAAGATTCACTTAAGACTAATAAAGAAAGTCACGACAATATGCAATACAGTAAAAATATTGCAAAAACACTATTGAATTTTTGTAAGTTCTTAGTTCTTACCAACATGGTCAGCAATAATGACACAATATTTTGGATATGGAAAGTCCACAGAGTCGAGCTCAACATCAGGGAGTTTATTTAATGAATTAAAAAACAGAGTTTTCAAACATAAGACCTTACCAATTAGATGAATTTGTTCAAAATCATGTAAGTTTTATTATGGGTTCAATGAAACTCATAAAAGGAAAACCTGAGTATAATAATAGTGAAGATGACCAAACTGAAAAAGAGGAAAAGAAGGAACACAAAAATGAACACAGTGAAAACAGTATCGGTCAACACCATACATATGACAATATAAATGAAGTAGAAAACTGGAGAGGTCAAGGAAAGCCGGCAAAGTATATGAAACATAATTATTCAACTCCAGATAGAAGTATTCTGTTCTACAATGATAACAGTAAAACTAAAAGTCCAATAATTGGTATATTAAGAAATGGAAATATTCAAGACTATTAATACTTATACTTCTACTTATACTCATACTTTATACTTCTTAATATTAATCTTTATTCTTTTTTTTATCATAAATGGTTAATTAAATTTATATTTAAGTTAATACCTATATAATTTCATTGCATTATGTTGTAATTGTTATCATATTATATTTGATTATATATGTTTTAAGAATGAGTGATGAGTAAAGACTATATACATATAAATTATATATAATGACTTAAGAGTTATTGTTTTCAACTTAATAGTATTAATAGTATAAGTATAATAAATTCACATACCTAGTTAATCACTGTTTTTTAATTGTATTTAAATATGTAATGTATAATGTTAAAGATTCCATTTATATTTTATTAGTTTATTTTATTTGTGTTGTCACGTATTAATAGTGTATTATGTTTATACCTAATACTTATTTTAAGAATGAGTTAATTAATATAAATTATCTTATAATTTATTTATTGTTAGTTAAATAATTTGTTGGTAGTTAATTTTTTGTATCTATAAAAGACTTATAATACCAAATTTAAATAGTGTAATTAAAAATAAATACAATTAATTTCAATCAGCTTAGGTAACTTGATTAAAAACTTGAAATCATTTCCAAGCAACAACTTTTGAATAACACAATAATTTGTAACCTACAGTTCAAATATTTGTAGTGAGTGACAACATAAAAAAGGTGGGCAAGTGGGTGTCGCTCTGCTGTACAGTAGGTTACAAGTGGGTCACTGTATAATGGATGATATTAAATTTGAATTCAACGATATAATATCATTGTATAAGAAAAACGATTCTGAGCGGAGACGGTATGTCAGTCTAGGTATAAGACATATTATATACATATCTATGGTACTAAACCAAAATTTGACCTATAATAGGTACCTATAATAAATTCAAAATTAATCATATCACAATATCCATTAGGTACTTATAACACGCATGCAATAACGCTATACATCAACAAAACCGTGATACTATCATAGATATATAATAGTACACTTTAGAAGTTTCAAGTACTCACGAATAATATTATTCAATCACAACAAAATAACTAAAATAGTTATTCTAGGTTTTTTAATATGTAATTTCGTCCAAATTTGAATTTTAAACGTCTGTAAAAAATAACTGTGTTCATATATTTTTTATATTTTTTGTTTACAGTATGAACTATTTATGAGAACCTTTGTTTTAAATTTGCAATCCTTAGCTATGAAAACTAAACATTTTATAATTTATTAATTACAATGATTGATCATTTTCGAGATTTTGATAAATTTTGTCAAAATTCGATCTTTAAATGCTTGTAAAAAAAAACTGTGCTTATGTATTTTTAATATTTTTCAACTGATATTGTAACAATATATCAGGAGCCTTGTATTAAATTTTTACACTTTTTAGCCCAATAGATAAAACTTTATTGATATTTATAGAAAAAAAAAAGAGGGTAAGTGGATGTCGCTCTGCTGCACAGTAGGTTACAAGTTGGTAACCTGTATAATGGGTTGTTTTAAATTTGAATTCAATGATATCATATCATTGTATACGAAAATGTGAGTGCCTTTGTACTCACGAATGATGTGTAAACATCTTAGCTGTAGTACGACTTTAATTGGGGAATATAATGTCATGGTTTGAGTGGGAATTTGTATAATACATATTATACGATACAAACACGGTTTCGTGCGTATACGTAAACGAGAATAATAAATAATATTAATAATAATAACAAATCGTCCAACGACTGTACCAGCGAGCGCGTTCGCACCTACCAGACTCGTGAAAATAACACAGAAAATAATATATAAGCAACTCGCCTGATTTATTGGTTCTGCGATTTTAGCGCTATGGCGACGACACACACACACACACACACACACACACACACACACACACACACACACACACACACACACACACACACACTCAAGCAGTCACATCTACATGACTTACACCTGACGCTCGATTCCCCAAGAAGGTCGTACTACAAGTCTACAAACCGATAGCATAGATGTTTACAGATAAAAAAAAAAAAACTAAAAAAATTGAAAACTGAAAATGTCCGTAAACGGCTCAAAATATTTTCAAAATTGTATGGTGTATAGGAAATGCTAATACAAACATTCAGTGAAATTTTCATGTATCTACAGTAATTCGTTTTTGAATTACAACCAAATAAGGAAATCGCCACATGAGAAATCGAGTGAATATCCAATGTTGTAAAAATTTGAATTTCAAAAACGCTCATAAAAATTTAATTTGACTTTCTTATAAATTTTTTTTTTTGATAAATGTAGGAAATTTTATAACTGACAACTCTTTATCTTAAAGCTTTACTATCTGAACATGAACTGTCTGTTAAATTTTTGTTTAAAACTATAGTCAGCTAACTTGACTGTAAACGTTATTGGTATAATTTGCCAACCAATGTAGTAGATTGAAAATTATACATAGTACCTATATGTTTATATACCTACTACATTGGAATGAATGTGCACGTATGATAAGATATTGGTGACTCCAAATTAGTTTGAATTTGTTTCTCAAAATCTCAACAATTACTTAATGTCTATACTTCATTCTAATAAAACATAATCAATATAATAACAAATTATTTGGTGGGTTTTCGACTTAACTGCGGTAAACCAGAATATCCAGGTGTATAAACTAGGGTGTCATATTTTGTCGATTGGATTGTATTATACTACACTTAACTCTTTTTTAATATAGAGTTCATTCAACCCATCTGTTGAAAGTCTTATCTCATCATAGACCAAGTTTTAGTCAATATGATCTGGTGGATTTGTGGTCGACTTAACTGCGGTGAACCAGAATATCCAGGTGTATAATATACTAGGGTGTCATATTTTGTCGACTGGATTGTAGATAAAATTAATAACAGTTGAATTGTATTGATTGGTGCTGTTTAAAATTAAATATTGCTTTTAAATAGGATACATACTTTATATTCACCTTTATTGTTTAAAAATGGTATTTACTACTTACGAAATTATAGTAGTGTTCGAAATTTAATTTTAGTGGTTTATTTTAGAATTGTATGTAAGTATTTAACGTTAATACGAAATGTAGGTAAGCACTGGGAAAATGTTAAATTTTTAACACATTTTTAAACTTACTCACCAATCATAGACCAACACTGAAATACTATTCCCTACAATTGTTTTATAATAATAAGCATAATTTACACAATTAAAATATTAAATGTATTTACTTATTCACTTATTTAGTACCTAATCATTGATATTTGTGTTACAACATAAAAAAAATTATAATATATATAGGTATCTATGTTGTTTGATACGCCATAATAAAGTTATTGTGAATCAGAAATTTTAACAAAAACCCACCATCAATCAGCATAAAATTTATGCCGTTTTTCACTTAGAATCTTAACATTTATAGTGTATACCCATTATATTCATCATCTTACTATTTTTGGAACATTGACTGATTTCTGGATGAATAAATAACAAATCCGGAATTATTATTATAGGGCACAAACATCGCACAAAGTGAAAGCCAAATGTTAAAATAATGCATTTATCATTGTGGTAATATTTTGTTCTATTTTAATGTGCATGATTTTATTTTTTTGTTTTTCTTTCCTTTATATTTGGCCTGTGTCCATCAACACATAATAAAAATTATTAGGTATAAACAATATTTTACTGTTTAATCATTATTTTTACCGACTCATATTAACGTGTAATAGAATTTTCATAATTAAATATGAATTATATAGATAATTGCGATAATATCAAACTATAAATGCATATTCCTAGGTCTTCGTAATTCGTGTTAGAGTTTTTTTATTTGTGTTATCGTATTTATAATCAGTTAATAATTGCATAGTATTATACCATAGTTTTACGACTTCTATAAAAATTAAAGCGAAGTTTTCAAATAGCTACGCAATCGAAAATTATAAATTTATAATAACTATATTATAAATAAATTGTATAATATTTGAAATTTTATACCACAAATCCCTATAATTACATTGTGATTTTGGGTTATAGTGTTATGGGTATAGAAATCTGAAATACCATTATTATTTAACACAAAAGGTTATAGACACAATTAAGTAATAACTCTACTAAAGACAATTGTTACATAGATTTATTATACGAATAATCATATTGTATATTATTATAAAATAGAAGACCAATTTTTGTATGTACCTACGAGTATATCTCAAAAAGTAGGTATTTACTCATCGGATTTTAGTACAGTTTCACTAATTAATAGGCCGTTTCTCATGGAATTGTTTCATGTATAATACGTCTTAGAAAAATGCCAAAAATAATATAAATAAATATTAAATGTTGTCCGTCGGTAACGGCATCACTTTCCTGCAGTTAACTGTTTTGTTTGCATTAATGTTACGATAACTTAGAACAAACCATTGTATTAAATTGTCAAATGTTAGTTACGAAAAGGAAATATTTTTAAAATATCTACCTAGACACAAAAAATAAACGAATCTTTATATTCAGCATTTGTTTATTTAAATATGACTATTTCAAGGTTTCAGGGTAATTCAGCATCGTTTGTTGTCAATTATTGTCGCCGCCAAAAGTCAATTTGTCCGGTATTTTCAATAAAATAGACGCCTATATTGGGGTAGGTGCGGTTGGTCGTTACGATAATTTAAATGAAAATAATACATTTGCTATTATATGGTAAACTACGTGTTTCTATACTGTCAATTAGAAAAATTCTGTATTATATGATACATCGGTTATTGTTTAATAAACGGTCGGCGGAATCAACATAAATAAAATATATCCGGTGGAATCAAAAGCCAACTGAATTAATATTAAAACAGAAAAATCAATAAAACCCCGCCATATAATAACCGTCAAGATCGAGTCAATTAAGATGGGTACTGGCCAGACAATAATGTTGATACCGTCATCACACCTTAACATGGGTCTTATTTGTAATGGATAAAAAGGAACAAACCACACAACAACAAACAC